GTCGAGCCATGGAACAATCAACAGTATGTGCAGTCTGCCTGGGGACAAACATACACAATGTACACAAATGTGTCAAACCTAACTTTTGGGATGGTTCACCCACTCTATGTTCCTGAGGAGACAAAGGACAACTTCAAGGGCCAATGGGACAAATCATATGCATCAATTGGCAACACCCAATCAGATGCAAAATTGCAGATCACGACTGGCATCATGAATGTTCTGGATGTGGCACTGTCATATCCGTACCGGAAGACAGAACTCCGGCATTTCCAAAGAAGTTATTCTCCAAGCCCCAAACCCCCAGAACTATCGGTATATTTAGGATTATGTTCCTCGTGGTCTGCTGGTCGGCAGCAAATTATTATCTTATCATATCTAATCATATATAATCTCATCATTATTGTGGCTCTAGGAGCCTGAGCTAGCCCTGGATAAGAAGCCAAAAATCAGATGTATTGCCTTTTACACAACACCATTTTTCGGGATACCGTAAGGACTTTTCCGAGTTTGTGGAGGGAGTCCTCAATCAGATGCAACCTTGCAGCCTTAACCTCTGCCAAATTATGTGCTTGTAATCAACAATGCTACACTGCATAAAGTTCCTGGCATCCGCAAGCTTGTTGAGGACAGGTGAGTACATAGTTTTCTATCAGTTTACTCTATTAATGTTTGGCCAGGGATATGCAGCTCTTATATCTCCCTTCCTATTCCCTGGATTTGAATCTCATCGAAAAGGCTTTTTCAGCTGTCAAAGCTTGGCTCAGGAACAATTGTGATTATGTCCTTGGTGAGACAGAAGGGCCCGGTTGCTATCCATACGCATTGATTTGGGAGGCAGTATATGAGGTAATCACACCCAAGAAAGCCAGAGGGTGGTTTAGAGATAGCAAGTATATTATATAAAATATTTATACCGTGTTTACTGATGTTCAAGCCCTATTACTTTCTAGCTGAAAATGTTTTCAAAAAGATCAAAAGATCAGTTCATTTATATGTTGTTCAGTAGCTGATTTCCTCCTCCCCCTCTGCTGATGGCAAGTACTGGTTATCCTCACCCTCATCTTCAACATCCCCATCAATTACCTCATTTTCCCCATCCACATTAATCATATCTTTGCAGCCTAGATCAATTATTTCAATCTCATTGTCATCCTCATGCTTTGGATGTTTACGATAGCGTTGCAGAGTAGCTGCAATTTCTATCACTGTTTCCTTACCCTCTCTTTTCAACCCCAAAACTGACAGGATGCAACATTTAGCATAGGATTGTATGATCCTAGCCCTTTTTTCACCCATTTTTCCTACACAGCTCAGCTTTTTGACGGGCATACCAGCAACTTGTTTGGATGTTTGGATGCTATCAAACCTGTGACCTTTCAGAGTAATAGAGTAATGGAGTGCAGGGGTGAAGTGGAAAAGTAATGGAGTACGAGGTTAGGAATTGACTTAGCTTGTGTGCTAGATCCTTCCATGGACCTTGTTGGAATGAACGGATGAGAGTAGAGGATGAAAAAGGAGCAGAGTAAAGGCCTTTCAGAGAAGGACCGGGACTTAAAGGGATTTGTAAAAAGGCGAGGGAATCTAGTTGATATACTGTTGGGAGAAATAAGAGCTTGTAAGGAGTAACTTGTAATGTAGGTATGAAGTTCCATGCAGACAAAATCTAGTGAAGGGAAAATGTATGTGCAAGGAGTGTACCATAAGGTCTAAACTACAGAGTCCATGAGGAGCACAAAAACATGCGTAGGAACATGTATGGCGGACTAGAAGTCCTGTGTAGGAGGATCAGGGTGGATGTTTGGAGTACAATGTGGAGATGGGGCACAGGGTTATGCCGACCGGCAAGACACAAGGAGCATAATCCCAAGAGTACCAAAGGCTTGGGGGGTTGAGACTTGAGGAATGCTTCCTTCAGAGATTCCGGAATTCTATCTTCCAGTACGGATATGACAGATGCCAGCTGTAAATAATGCATTTAACACTTGGTTAACTTTAAAGTGTGGAAATTTGACATCAATCAACTCAACCAAGTCCCCAATAGGCGGATATTCAACAATAGGGCCATCTTCAGGTGTTAACTTACGGTTGGGGGACAGCGGCAGCAAAGATAACTTCTCAAGACTAGGATACTTTTGTCTTGGCTGTGTACTTGGAGCAGGGGGTCAGTGTAGATCTATTGCTAAAGTCGGAAAAAGAGGAGCCTGAAGCACTTGGTGTAATGTTCTTGATTGTGACATGCACATTGAGTGAATTTCCTTGCAATAGACGAGCTTTTTTTGTGAGCATGCGATCAAAGTTCAAACAATGGGGTGCACTATAGACTGTTGCTTGCCCCAGAAACTATACTGAGTGTCAGCACCCTAGAAACAAATGACTGAACCCAAGGACTCACAATTTTCTTGGCCCACAAGGTCATTTCATCATGGCCGAGACGGCAGTGGACATCACGTCCACTTGGCCCGTCAATAAAGCAGTGACCTTGGTGCAGCTCACACTGAGTAGCCTTCTCCAGCTGCTTGAATGCCTTTAACTGTGATGACATTTTGTCACTCAATGGTGGTGGTATATCCTCTGTCTTACTTCATTTCTTTCCTTTTGAAACCAATGCTGTTGGCTTAGTCTGGCACAACAACAAATTTGGTGAGCGTTTCACATATAATATAAGAAACAGCTTACTATGTTCTTGATTTCCAGCATTACCACTTGTATTTGAGCAACTTGTGCTTTGTTTACAAGTCGGTCCATTGCAGCTGTAAAATTGTGGTGGTTGTTCATATGTGATGGCTTACCTGTGTCACCTGACAACTTATATGCCAGCTAAGTGTCTTGCTCAGGCCCATCAAGCAGGATAAAGACTTGGCGCTGAAACTGAACCCAGTCCATGTTGGTAGTGGCCAATATAATAGACATGACTGATCACCTGTAAGGACCTCCACATTAGGCCAAACACATTGTGTACTGGGGGGCGGCTGATTATTTGCGGGTGGCTTGGAGGGCAGCTGCATAGGGTGTGAGGGTGCAGGCTGCACATAATGTTGCTCAGGCAGTGGCACAGGCAGTTTTAGGGGCACCCTAAGTTGTCTATACTGATACATATTGTGTGCCGGTTGCATCAAGTGTGGGGGATGATAGTGCATGGCAAAATGATGAGGTTGGTATCTGATTGTCGATGCACTTGCCTGACTGTTGTACCCAGTGTAGCCTGCTGGGGGATGGGGAGCTTGTTGATAAGCCCTTTGGAATATGGGTGCACCATGCATTTCATCAAGGGAAAAATGACAAAAGCTTTGTTGAGAAGACATAGGAGGTATATATATTTTTTGTGTCTCCTGACTCTTACACTAACAGCCTCTTGGCCTTAGGCAATACCTATTATTGTGACAACACCAACAAGACACAGTCTTGGGGCACTGGAGCACGACAAAACAACACTTCAAAAGAAGAAGAAGAAAAAGGGATACCAATCAGCAGTATGTACCGCTGACCAGTCAAAGTCGCTGAGGTAGTGGGTAAGCCCTCACACAGACTTGGTAGGGTAGGACCAAGTTGGTTGTTGGTAGACAACAGGAGGACTCACTGAGTCCTTCCCCATGTATTGCTCCTGTATATATACTAAAATACATGAGGTACTGTACAGTCTTAAATATAGTTTAAAGTCCGATGTTTAGCATGTAACCGGTCACATGATGAGTCTAGACATTGGTCAGGTGTTGTGTCACATGACTGGTCATGTGACTTGGAAAAAGTAAAAGTAAAAGTACAAACAAGCGAAGCGTAAGTAGGTACTGGTAAGTCAATTGTAACAATTATTGAATGATCCTCATTTCTAGCCAATTATATATTTTTTTCTTTTTGAGCACTTTACCGAATAGTCCACACCAAATTTTTCAAAGACTTGGGCTATCACACTTATCACACCAGCCACACTCGATACTGAGCTAAATATTATAGTCTCCCTAAATTTTAGATTTACTACATTTTAAGCTTAGTTGTAGTTCCGCTCGGTACACTAAGTCATTGGATAGGTCTATTGTTATGAAATCAGTTGTAGATGCAGGCTCCTCCACAGCCACTGTTTTGAGCGAGAAGGATGAGTGCTAGGGAGTTCAGGACAAGGCTTATTAATAGATAGTCACATGATTATGATAATTTCAAAGTCAGTACAACTTTATTCCTCACTCTCTCTCCACAGTGGCTGCAAATTAACATTTGTAAACAATGGCTTGCCACAGTAACAGTGACGAGCATCATTGTTGGACATTGAAAAATGATTAACATTTTTTGAATTACAGTACAGTTACTAATTTAGTATCTACAAGTACTCAATACAGATGGGCCTGTGTGATGCAGTCCAGTGGTGTATGTTGATGGCCAGGCAGGATTTAAACTCCTTTACTGGCATCTGTAGGATAACCCAGCAAAAGCCAGGCTCCTATCCATGTTTTTGGCAGGCCAAAGTTGGACAAGTGCTTGCTAAGGAGGGAATGATGTTATATTGATTGCAGGTCAGGTTTGGGAACAACACCAGCATTTATGATACCTCTCATATTTAGGCCCAAAGACATGCAAAAATGGCAGTAAACTTGGGCAGCAGATGGTGGAGACACTGGCAAAAATGAACATGAATACTGAGATTACCAATTGCCAGTGCTTCGAACTTACTTGCCTAAATTGGCATGTGGTAAAACATTATTAATTGGTCTGCAATTGTTTTTTGATGTCCGACAGACTCGTCAGTGGCAAGCCTTTGTTTACAAATGTTAATTTGCAGCCGCTGTGGAGAGAGAGCGAGGAATAAAGTTGTGCTGATTTTGAATTACTATCTTATCATATCTAATCATATCTAATTTCATCATTATTTTGTGGCTCTAGGATTAAGTGCTCCTCTCGAAACAGTGGCTGTGGAGGAGCCTCTGTAGATGTCGCTCAACATTCTTTCTTTCATGTAATCAAAATGCTGATGCGAAATTTAATGTTTTATTTGTAATTTTCTATATCATTTTTGGGACGACGAAACTCTCCTCACTGTGAAGTGTGCGAAGGGTCACTTATGTGTTGACTACCACCGACATATATACACATAACATTCTTGTACCTGACATGCATGAAGGCATGCTCCATAAATATCATGGAATCAAAGGTATAAGAAAAAGAAAAGGAGACTGTATCATTACCCCAAAGTCATTTGTCATTTGTCATCTTCCTTGAATTTAATGGATAGTTCCTTTCTCATTTTATCGAACCTAGCCCTGGTACGTTCCATTTCCCCACACTTGTCATAATACTCTTGCACTTCCTCAACAGTGAACCTATTGTCCCTCGCTATATCTTGAAGAGTTTGATCAATTACATGTAAACTGCCCGGATAAAATGATCCGTTGGTAGACGTTGCCAAAGGTACATGTAGGATGCTTATTTCAGGTTGTTTTTTTTCGCTGCTAGGAGACACGTAAGGAACTGAGCAAGTAGGTTAAAGGCCAAATCAAACCCATGTCTAGATTTTTTGTTGTTGTTGGTAACCCCCTCTGATTCTTCGTCTACCTTTCTCTTGCCGCAAGCAGGTGCAAGTTCATTGTCACCTGAGGCTTGAGCACACTCGCCAATTTCATCAAGAGCCCCGAGTTCTTCAAATATAATGTTCTCTGACGTCCTATCAAGGCATCTTGCGCCAGGAATAGCTAGGTGCTCAATAGATGCGTATAAGACTGAAGGAGTGGACATTGCAGGGCTCTTTCCTGAGTTATCCTCAAACGCGCTCAAGAATTCGTCATCAGATGGGTGGAAGTGGTCCGTATTGCGGCTACGCTTGCGCCTACTTCGCTTTGGTTTGTCTTCAGTCTTGCGGACGTATCCGTATTGGCCCTTTTCCCCTTGAGAAGGTTTTCTCTGGTCTACAATCGCAGCAATCAGAGCATCTAATCGTGCAGCATTTTTCTTGTAACGTTCACGCCATGACTGCCAGGTATGCCTTGTAACCCAAGTATACTCCGGATCTGCGGCCTGAAAAATCATTATAGTTGGAGTTAGAGCCTTACAAAATCCCATGGATACGATGTCACCATTTCGCAAAGTTGTTGATAAAGTCGGTTTCCTGTTCGGCCACCTGTCTCTTTGAAGGGGATTTTGGCCGCGATCCAAGCGCATAAATGCGCCTCATCCTCGTCAGTGAACTGGGTCCTTCTGTTCCAAAAATAATTAACCCCGCTTTATTAAACGATAGTGGACTATTCTTACTCTTCTCCAGGCCTCCGGCCGCCAGGGTTTTTATATACGAGAGGTGTGTAGACCAGGACACCTTTTTCAATACATTTCTTGACCCATAAATAAGATTCAACATATTTGTTAGGAACACCTTGATAAACTTTGACAAGATGTTGAAAGACCTCCGTATTGGGGTCAGCAAGGATGATACGTGCTGATTGCACAGAGGCAGTCGGGTCGCCACCCGAATGCTTGGTCACAGTGATTATGTTGAGACAATACAAAGATACTACTGACTGAACGCACCATGATACGTTGACTGAGCGCCATTCTGGCGTTGACATTAGCAATGCTCGGATGAATGTGCATCTTGATAGGCTCTCCGTCGTGGGCAAATATCTGCTTAAGCAATATACCGGCGATTTTACACGCCTCTACATACGTGTACGGCACGAAGTGCCTCTCAGGACGATCTGGACTAGCCCAGCACAACCGAAGACGCTCTTCTTCAGTGCTGCCATTTTGGACAAGAACATATCCTTGCCTCGGCACCTTGGTTTCCACTCTGCCACCGAGAGACTGGAGTGCCTTAGAAGAAGAACAAGAAGATCTGATACGTGAACCAACCGTAATAGTCTCACAGAGTTCTGCTTGGATTCCTTGGGCGAGGTCCTTTTGTATGAAGAACTTTACAGCAAGGCCGTGGACATCTTGAAATATTGGCTACATGTCAGAATTAGAGCTGTTCAGGCAAGAAGCAGGGAAATACAAAGAACTGACTGACCATGATTGTCGATAATGTCAACAGTTCTCGAAAACACCAGTCGTGTTAGTGTGCTTGCAATACCAGCGAGGAGACAACCAATAGGGCCAAACAACATCAGGAAAATGCCGAGCACATAGTATCTCATTTAGGCAACAATTTTGAGATAACTCCATAATTGCTGTCAAATTGCAAATCGGTGGGCAAAATATACTATTGCTCTTATATTCAGCTATGTGTTTACTGAACTCTTTCAAACAGACCAGATGACTATAATAAATTTTGCCATAAGCAGCGGCGGCGAAAGTAACTTCTTCCTGAATTCCTGTTGCCCACTCATCTATAGCACATTCAATCTATAAGGCCATGAAGACAACAGTAGTTATACACTAGGATATACTGCAAGGTTATTATAAGCACTCACCATGGTAAGAATTAAAGCCACTGTCTCCAATGAGACAGGGTTGAAATACTTGTGGTAGGCCACACCCTCATCATTGCGGTTGGCGAACCACATGTCATCTAATATAATTTGAATTATTTCAGCCTTATACAGGCCCTTTCGGGCCTTCAAATCCTGCTCAATAGTCAGTACAATGTTGAATCATAGGCAGATAAACTCACTCTGTAAACAAACAATACATTTTCCTTCAGGTCCATCGCCAGTTGGCAATTCTGTGCGATAACTTTTGGAGATGAGCTTGCGCAGAATCCATAATAAGTGCCATCTCGACCACAGACTTTTGTCTCGAGTTCCCCCTGGACATGTGATGTCCTCTTCATGATCTGAGGATTGATGTCAGCAATTCAACAACATACAAACGATTCACATACCAATTTGAAGATGTCCGGGGTTAGAGCTAGGTTCAAGCTGACTCCAATGTTAGCCTTCTGCCAAGCTTGTTTGGCCATCTCACTCTCTACTAACACTGACTCTGGAAATGGGTACCTGGTACAAACCAGGCACCTGAAAACTGCGATGGCAATTCATAGGACTTCTTTGGCATTCAGTGCATAATCACGAACCCAACTATGGCTGGGCTGTGAAGAAGTCTATATGTGCAGGGTCATGGTGGCCTGGGTATCTGCCTCATTGTCAGTGTCGTTGTCCAATGGACTCACAAACAGTTGGCACTTGTGGCCAATGGTGACAAATGCGGTTCCTTCTCGGTCTGAATTGATGGCCCTATGACTGGCACCAAGGTTGTTGCTTCCCTGCTGATCACTTGGAGTCCTCATGTTAAATAGAGGACTCAGAACACTCTGCTGCACAACAGGCAGTTTTGTAAAACAAAACTGCACTGCTTTCAAATTGTGAGCAGAGTGTTTGCTCATCACAGTCCTGTCATCAAACTGGCAGACTTGTCAGTATTGTTGCATAGACTGGGGTGGACTGGTCAACCTACCATGGTGTCCTCATGATCATCTAGGTTGCTGCCAGTATATTTGGGTCCATCCACAGATAATTCCTGTAATGTTTGATACTGGGATGGAGTGACATCTAAAGTGTCAATGTCAAGCTGTCTGTTAGCGCGTCTGGCAGATTTTTGAGCCTTCTAAGCCTTGCTGGCTTTTTTTGCGACATCTCCAGAGCCTCTCCCACTCACATGGGTCACAACATGAGTACACGTAGTAGCAGGCAAGATAAAATAATAAAAATACCTCGTTGGTTCTCTTTTTCAGTCTGCCGTTGCTGGCGAGCACTCTAAGGCTGAATTGCTTGAGATGGCTCAGACATTGGGAAACACTGGTGAAACTTGTGAGGTTGAGATGGGAGTAGAAGACAAAGGGGAAGACCTACATGAAGTTTTTGAGTTTGCACATGGCCCATGAAATTAGTTATATTGTATTGGTGAGAGGAGTGCCATCTTGGCAATCACACTTATCATTTCATAATACGCGGTCTTTTTTGCAGCAAGTAGATAGTCTACCAAGTGTTCCTGGATGGACCTGCAAGAAAGTGTCAGTGACGGGCGATCTACAGGACGGTAACAGCCAGATCAGGTTAGAAGAGTATGAATTGTGGGTAAGAGACCCTATGGAGATTATCAAAGACTTTATAGGTAATCCTCTTTTCAAGGACTCAATGGTGTATGTTCCAGAGCGTGCATATGCAGACAAGAGTGCTCAGGAGCATATATTTGATGACATGTGGACAGCAGATTGGTGGTGGGAGAAACAAGTAAGTTGTCATACGGTACAATGTCTAGAGAACAATACTTAGCAGGTGATAGGGCATTATACCCAACGAAGGAGTTGTCTCTCCAGTAGTCTTGGTGTCGGTGATGGATAGCACCCTTCCTAGTTTGTACCTAATACTTACAGCCACATTTCCGCTTTTCAAGCATTATGTAATAACCTTACCTAGACAATCATCTAAAATCAATACCACTGCATTGCATATATTGTACTATCTATTACAGCAATAGAACAAGGTCTTGTGCACTTGTGGTTTGATTAGATATGAAACCTTTACAGTTGGATAAGACAATATTAACAAACTTTTAAGGGGACAAGTGTTACAAACTGTGTTCTCTAAGGACTTCATTTCGTTTCTAGAGTAGCTACACACTACTACCCATTTATACTTTCCCACACTTGTTACCTATTATGGTCTCACCTGTCATTGTTTGTTCAACACAAACACCTACCCTAAAGTGGACAGTATATATATATGCCTGTATTGTAGTTAACATCTCCAATATGATTGTACACTTCAACAGTGCAACTTGGTATTCATCAGTTTGGACCTCATCATCAGAATATGTCTTAAACCCATTTATAAACGGGCTTATCAGAAATCACTTCACCTCTAGGAACCCCCGTGTTACCAGGCTTGTACATTCTAAGTGTAACAAAACAATTGTATTCCATATCCTTATCCCACGCTTTATAGTGAAGGGACAAAAAAGATGACAAAATGTCGCAAGGAAGAAGGCCCAACATCAGGGCACAAACCAGAGCAGAACCAACCCAGACAGCAACACCCCCAGTATTGTCTAGACAAGGAAGGACAGCAGCACCACTTCCCTTTCCCCAACCCAACATCACTCAAGTGCACACCAGAGAACAAGCAGACACATTCTACGGAGCCAGAACACGTTGGCTACAGTATTACACAGGAAGCCACCCACAGCTAATACCCGGAACCCAGTAGTTGAATCAGATGTCTATGACAAAAACAATTTTGAAGACTTTGCAGCAGAAGGTCAACCAATACCACCTCCCACACCACAGATACTTCTAATCCATCTCCAATTCCACCAACACGCACCATGTCTAACACTGCAGCATCCAAGCCCACCAAGTTTGGACAGATAGATGATTTTGATGGAATGCCAGACCAAGCCAGTGGATGGATGTTGTCGGTCAAAGCATATTTTGACGTAAATGATGCCATGTATGACTCAGATAAAAAAAAGGTTTTTGAAGCACTTTCCCACATGAAAGAAGGAGCAGACCTAGTGTGGAAAGAAACCAAATTAACGGAATACACAGGATTGGGCAAATACCCAAAATGGATGGACTTCAAAACCGATTTTAACGGGCCATTTATTACCACAGACGTAAAAGGCACGACCAACATGGCCTTCATGACGATGAAAATGGAAACAGGAGAAACAGCAGTAAAGTTCAACTCCCACTTTATGGTAGAAGCAGGAAAGAGCGGCTTAAGTGACGAAGGACTAATCATGGTGTATAAAAGTTCCATATGCCCATACTTCCTTCAAAATGTACTTAACTCCTCCATACAATCCAAAAATATTGCAGGATAGATGAGCACTGTCACTGGCCTAGATGCTAACTGGACAAACTCGAACAGTATCAGCAAAGGAAAGTGGGGAAAGAAGGGAGAGAAGAAGAAAGAGGAAAAAGGTGGAAGAAGCCAGTCGTCCTCGGCAAAATGTTTAACCAAAGACAAAGAAGATTCTCTCAAACAAGAAGGGCAATGCTTCATATGCAAAGAACAAGGACATATTTTACAGTTCTGTCCAGAAAAGAAGAAAGGGAAACAACCAGACCGGAGAATTTGAACGGCAGAAGTTGCAGAAAAAGATGAAGCAGAAACTGTGGTGGAAGATGGAAAAGGAATTTCCCACATCCTCAAAATGTGGAGAGAACTCAGTGAAGCAGATTGAGCCAACACCTATCAATGGATAGAAGCAGGAGGAAGGAATGCCATGTGCAAATTCCTCATCACCGGATTAGGAGGAGAAGACATTCTCCTTGGATACCCATGGCTTCATAAGGTCAACCCCACTATAGACTGGACATCAAAAAGCATAGACACCCAACATGCCATTCACATAATCTGATCCCATTCCAACCGATCCATGATTCGCACCATCACAATTGATCAACCAGAATTATTAATTAACTATGTACACAAAACACAGATTTTTGCGAAAACTAACACTGCAATAGAGCTAGCCATCCAAAATAGTGCTGGGAAAAAGATAACAGAACTACCCGAAGTCTACAAAGAATTTGCACAAGTCTTTGACAAGAAGGCTTCTGAAAGACTACCCAAAAGAAGGATTTACAATCACGCTGTAACAACCAAGAGTTAGTTACTCTGGCGCACACAGGAACACACTATAAAGGTAGTGAATGGGGAGTGGTTACCCCTTAGGCTGCAGAGAGTTTGTTGGTTAACAACAGGAGGACTCGCTGAGGAGTCTCCTGGATCTATTGGGGTATATATACTAATACAGAGTGTTTGTACTTATGTACTGTACAGTTGATAAAGTCAGTGGCTGATGATGTCATGGGGCCTAGCCCGTATGACCAGCTCCACTGTGTGAGAGAGTTGTATCTAAAATAAGAAGAAGGCAACGCAGCGCGAGAAAGAGGAGTTTGAACAAAAGGGGAAGTGTTGCGTGGCACCATGTGTGAAAGCTAAAGTGTACAAGGTTAAAGTGGAGAATAAAAAAGAAGGAAAGGTCCGAAAATTGTGTTATCGTAACACACACCATAAACCTAAAACTGGAATTTAGACCCAAAGATTGTAAAATCTATCCCCTATCACCAAAAGAAAACACAGCACTAGAAGAATTCTTTAACAACAACCTTTGGAAAGGATACATCAGACCAAGCAAATCTCTGATGGCTTCCCCCTTCTTTTACATAGACAAGAAGGACAGATCTTTACGACCATGCCAGGATTACTGTCAACCAATGAACAAACAATCTGAGATCCCTACCCACTGCCCGTGATCCCCAACCTCATAGACAAACTCTGTGGAGCATCACATTTCACAAAATTATATCTACATTGGGGATATAACAATCTCAAGATAAAGGAAGGAGACAAATAGAAAGCGGTGTTTAAAACCAGAAAAAGACTCTTCAAACCCATGGTCATGTTCTTTGGCATGTGCAATTCCCCAGCCACCTTCCAATGCATGATGAACAACTTTTTTGCAAAAAAGGCAAAAAAGGCAATGTACCATACAAGGGGAAGATCAACACAGCAAAGAAGGACAGGATATGCAAAAAGAAGGCCCCCAAGTAATAACATACATCTTTGATAGTCATAAAAATAAATCTCTAGGTGGAAATAGTTCACCCTTTCCTAGAGATGTATACTACCAAGAATGGAAAGATAGTGCTTTGTTCAGCCACAAGTTGCTGCATAACCTGTCACCAAACACAACACAGCATGAACTTGGTCAAAGTGCTCTTCATGGTGCTTTCTTATGGTGACAACTGACAGATGTTGTTGAAGTTGAAAAAAAAATTACGGGCAAACTTGGAATTGTGAACCTGTTACAGAGGATTCAGGAAGGACATACTTGGGACGGTTTGCAACCTATGATGATTGAACAAACAGGAAATAGTGTAAACTACTCCATATCAGACTTTGCTGTACTTGAACAGAGGATTATACCTTGTCTTGCGGCTCACAAACCCGATGAAGTTAAACGATTTAGACATGCACCCGTTGTTGTTGCCTAAAAGATTGTGAGAGATGTAATTAATTATGCAAAATGTAAAACTTACACTGCTTCTACTGCTCAATCTTTAGGCCTTTATCACTCCAGTGATGTAATGCATAAAGAGCCACTTGATGATGATCTCCGCAAAATAGCTTGGAAGACTATACCATCCAACGTATCAAATGACAGCTTGGGTATACTTCCCATGGTTGTTGGTATGCCTGTGATGATAACTGAAAATGCTGCTATACAATGTAAATTGGTTAATGGCGCAAAAGGGACGGTGAGCAACATAAAATACTCAGAAGATGAGAGAGATCAAAGATTTGCAGATTGCGCGTACATTAATGTACCTGGTTGTGGATTGCAGGCTCCATTCCTACCTTGTGAAATGGTACCCATATTGCCAACAAAGACGAGGTTCACTTATGTAAATGACGTCAGAATCAAGTTTCCAATAGTACAACAACAGTTACCTCTTTTACCCGCATATGCTTTTACAGATTACAAGGTACTAGGCAGAGCCTTGCGTGAGGTTATTGTAGACCTTGCAGGACATTTCAGCCTTCAAAGTGCCTATATTATGCTGTCCTGTGTGAAGGAGCTGGCAGGCATAATGATTCTGCAGGTATTTCCCAAGTCTAAGGTAACTGGACAACTTGCTCACAATTTCCGGCCCAAATTTCAGCGGTTATCTGATCTGGATGCAAAAATGCTAATAGACTTTGAAAGTCATCATCAACCCACACAGTATTGATCGATCAATATGTCATTAAACTGTGTTCACTCTACATCTTACATTTGGAGCCACTACTCTATCACGGCCTACAGAAAAATGGACCCCGCTCCTTTCACGGTAACAAAAGGTTTTAAAAGCTCATATCCTTCTTTGCACTTTGCGCCCCCCAAGTACCAAACAACAGCCAAGCTGTGATCATAGCACCTCCTTATTACCTCCATTGGTGGTCTCATTTGCGATGATATGTCCAGTTGGAATTTGACAAACAAACAACCACGGTCAAATGTGTGGCCTATAGTATGTGGGCAGACATAATTAACCTGACACCGGTGCATTTTGTATTCACTGTCCCATCCCAATGTGTTCTCCAGGATATTGTATCTGTGAGAGGCGTACTTTGCTAAGCTCAGGTTTTCCAATGGATCAGAAAAGTATTTGTCCATACAATTTGCATTCACAACGGCTCGGTGCTGGCTGGTGGTTGTTGGATATGCAGAAAAGAAGCCATTGCCTGATATACAGTTCATCACCGCTGTCAGATGAAAGTGAAAGATGGGTGCAATGCTGGCCGATCCACTGGCAACCACAATATTGATGCACCTGTCTACATTGCAGAGAGTAAACACCCCAGCAATCCCCGTTTCCTGTCTCTTTTCTTCTGTGTACGTTTCCTTCTCTATGATAACCATGTATCCCTCCTTGTAGTCTAGATGCCTCAACACCTTATTTTTGCACTCTAATGGCACATATATATCCATATCTCCCGGCTGCCACCCACCCGGTTCAAAATAATGCAATGCAACAGATCCTGAAACCATGCTACAAAATTGGCGCAACATGCAAAGGAATTCAGGTATATGAATGATGAACGGATAGACGGTGTCATGGAGTCAGTGGATCAGATAACATTGGACGGCCATGTAGTTCTTGTGACTGGTTGTTCCAAACAAAAACCAAGTCGGGGACTGACATTCTATTGAACACCAATCCCACAATTTTGACAGAGCATTGAGACATCAAAAAACCAGAGGGATCTTGGTTAACAAATAAAGACATTGCAGGTGGTGTTTCGATTTTCCAGATGATGGTTTTGTCTGCTTTATCATGTGTCTTTTTCTGCTTTTAAGAATCAGCCTATATTATAGCAAATTCAATTGTACCTTCACAACACCTTATCAGCTGCCTTTTTTTGTCCCCCCTCTTAATCATTTGCCACAATCCATTTAAAACCTCCCTTGCTCTCTTTGTCATCCCAAAAAAATGCATCTTATCGCCATGTCCTATTTACAAGGTAATATACTTCATTTCTGAAGACATTACTCACACCATCAATCTTCCCTTAAGCTCCTGGCAAATTGTACCAGCCATGTTTGAGGACATCAGCAAATGGGCCTGTGTTCAACAAAACCCTTGTTCATCAGACTGAACCCACAGTCACATTCTCTTGTACAAGACCATTAACCTTGGTCCTAAAATATTATATCCTGTCACAGTTCGTCTGCAAGGATTTTTAGGCAGACATCAACTGTCTCCTCTAGGAACGTGGAACGGGTAAATCTTCAGCATGATATCATTTCCATACTTATTTTCAGTGTTTCCCTCTCACAGTGCACATACCTGTGCTGCAGGTGCCGTACAAACTCTACACCTCACATCTGGAGGCCACAGTGGCTTATGGGAACATACCCTACAAACAATCAGTAACGTATAGCAATTCATACACATCTCCCTCGGTAATAGTGGGAGGGAACACTCCCATATTGACCCGGAGGGGGAGCTTGTAATGCAATGTTGTCTTTTTACAAAGGCATCCATTAACCCCTTCATTATTCATAGCAAAACATGATGTTTGTTTTTTAGGTGTTACCATCAAATGTACACGTCCAAAGTGTTTTATGTCCTTCTGACGATCCTTTCAATTGGGCTCATGCTGTCGACAACACTTGGTGTGTGACTGAGAAACTTCAGATGGGAAGAACACAGCAAAATGGAGATGTTCAACCATGTTCCCAAGCAGTGTTTTCTCATAGCAACTTTGTTGACATCGGAGCATTGTTCAACATCAGTGTCAAGACTTCTCGCATAGGTGAAAGGAAGGTCATCAGGAAAAATGAGGGTAGCTATATAGAGCTCTATAGCACTATAAGTACTCATAAAGCTGTTATAGTGGTTAAACCTGCTATAGAACCTCTGCCATATATAGAGCCTAATATAGCTCTATACATGTTGTTATAGATGTTGGAAATTGTTGTGTGGCTGATAAAAAAATATTAACACAGACAGAATTTGAACTCTCAACCTGCTAATCAGCTTTTGGGTGACTAAGCAACCTATAGCCACACATCACACATTTATC